ACCAAGAGTGTAAATTCAGGAAGCGAATGGAATTGATTAGGGAGGAAGTCCTAGAAGCCTATCAATGATTGATGCGACATGAGCTTGACAAGTGGACTTTGCATAAGGATGGTGGTAGGAGATGGAGAATTCTGACTATAAATGTGTCAGAGTCTTTAAACGGGTTGTTGAAGTCTGCACGTAGATTGCCAGTCACTGCCATGGTGCGGATGTCATTCAAGTAGATGGAAGAGAGGTTTGTTGAAAGATCTATAGGTGCATCGTCATTGATGGAAATGGGTGTTGAATTTATGCCACATCCAATGAAACGACTTGAGAAATATAGGAAGCGAGCACAGTGACATACATTTTTGCAGTATTGCAACGAGCGATATATTTTTGAAGTTCGCGCTGGTCTGGATCACAACTGCAGGAATAATACACACCCCGTCAATGAATCCATAAGATTATGCTCATGTGGAAAATGGTCAATCTATCACTTGCCATGCTCACATGCCATGAAGTGCTTTCAACATACTGGTTTCGCGGCAACGAGGTACGTTGATAAAAATCTAGTGTTGCTGCATACATAAACACCTATAGTGGACAGTTGCAGTCAATGAGTGTTGAGCATTATTGGCCGCTGAAATTATTTAAAATGGTGTGTAACAAGGATTACGTGCGTCAATGGCGAGTGCAGAAAAGAACGCGTATACAGAACCAAATGGATATTGGTGATACCGTTTATGCACGTAAATGTGGCATATGTTCCCAAACAGGACACGGCCGCCGTAAATGTCCTTCAGCTGGTTTGGGAAGCTGTGATAATTCAGCTCCAGGTGGCAGTTCATCCAACGTGCCCAATTATCATGGATAAACGTAGTGTTTTATTATAGTATTTTTGTTGTACTAAATGTCTGTAAATGTTCAGTTTGCAAAATTTCTGAAATAAAATTTTGTTTCCAATAGGGTTAAATCTAAAGTATTCATATAAAATATTTAGTTTGACAAATTTTCTATATTATTGTTTTTATGTTATTTTTTTACATTTGTTGACTAAAATTCGAGAGGGTTTGTTTTTGAACTATCATTTATTTTTCAAATATTTTTGGGGTTAACAGAGAATTAAATAATTAATTTCAATAACTAAAAAGATATTTTAGTAATTATTCATATAACAAATACTTAGGTTGATAAATTTTCTATATTAATATTTCATATGTTAGTTTCCAACATTTTTCTACTAAAATTCTACATGGTTTTATTTGAACTATCATCCTTTTTAAGTTATTTTTGAATTATAAGAGAACTATATATTAAAATTTCATAAGTAATCAAGATATATTCAATAATTAATCATATAAAAAATAATACAAACTTAATAGTAAATAATATTGAATTTATTTCATTTGTAATGATTTGTTTGTTAACTGTCATATTTTGCCCAAATTTCCCAGCAACTGATTATTTTAAGATTCCTATCTAATATTTGATAATTATATACTGATACATTAAATCCATAATTGAGTACTCTATCCGAGTTTGTTAAGGAGAGCACGTAGTTTTTATTCTACACAACTGAATCTTAAAGAGCACTAAAGTAACACTACTCTAAATGACCATAAAGAAAGTCAATTACCATAAGCTAAAATTTATTATCAGTTTTACTACGCTAAAGGGCACCACATAACAATTAAGGGCACAACATAACACTAAATGGCACTAAACAACAATAAAGTCACATATTAATATACGTACAACAATAAAATCACATATAACAATAATTATTCATAAAATAACAATATATATTTTTTACTAATTTTTTAGAACATAAATAAACTAATCCGGATAAAAAATAAAAAAATAATTTATTCACAAAACGATCACAAAAAAACATAGTCCACAGTAAAAATAACTAATAAGCATTTTATATATATGAGTTTTACCTAAAAGTAAGTCGGAATACCTCGATTTAAAATTTTTTGAAATATGAAAAATTGATGATTTGGGAGCCGAAACGAGCAATAGACGAGATACACTACACGACAACACCTTGAATCCGGTGTTAGCTTGCTAAAATACGGAGAAGCCATAATTTTTGAGGGACGGGTGTGCTCCAATGGAGTTTTTTGGTTAAAAAATGGGGGGGGGGGGGCTTTTTTG